ATTTCTACATACTTTACAATCCCGTTTAAGATTCTCGAACTTTTTTCTACAACATGTACCAGTATAAGATATTCCAAACTGAAGGTTGATCTTTGTGGAGACTTTCTTCCAGAAAATTCTCTTTCCATTCCCAGCTAGTTCATGAAACATTTTGTTATTTTCTTTGCAGTTATCAATCAAGACTCATAGTTACTCGTCAGTTCATATTGTAAAAAGCTTTTTATTTTTTTGAAATTCAGGTCTCTAGAGATCATAGTATTATATACCTTTCTTAACTATATTATTGTAATTATGTAGAGAGGGAAGTGGCAGAAGCGCAAAAGACAAGTCATTACATATTGAATGACTATATATATTGGATGTGGCTTAGAATCATGCAGATAACTACTGTAGAATAATTTTAATCAAAGTCATATGAAAGCGATTATTAAGATAGTCTAAAAATTGCATCATAACTATTTTTAAGAAATACCATGCCAATACTGTATCAAATAATATATTATACTATTAGATCTGAAAAAATTACCATAGCAATACTGTGTTATTACTGCAAAATTACGTAATATTAATTCTGCCTTTCTATATTAAATATATTGCATTAACTCTGATCCACTGAATAAAAAATTCACGTAATTTTGGTAGGGGTACCCTGGCTGAAATTTCGCTAAATTAATACATGATCATGTTTTTCATGATACAGATAACAAGTTTTTATTAATTTATTTTGCGATTGCTTGTCTTCCAATTTCGCAACTCTGGCCTTAATTTTATTATTCTTGGCCTTAAGCTTGCTAATGCATTGTTTCAATGAATCAGTCTCACTAAAACAATCTATTTCAGATTGCATGCTTGCGTAATGTAGTATTAGTATGTTAATATTCAAAAATAAAAAATCATGTGACTGCAATTTCTGAGATCGCGCGGTCCCAAAGAAACTTTATTGATATAGAGATAAAAAACAAATGTATATCAGATGTAATCTGAATACATGAAATTTCTATATTAAATTGCTAAAATACATAATAAATAAAATTGGGTCTTAGTCTGAAAATGGTTAAAAAATACACAATTCCCTTTATAAGGATGAAATCGTTAAACTATCTTCTATTTGTTTACGTGATATTGATAAAGGTGCATGGTATAGTAAAGATATGTTGACAATGATAATATTCTAAAAATCAGAATCGCATTAGAAAATATTTCTCTGACCAAAAGAATATTTATAGCTAGTGTGAATAACAAACCTGTAAAATAAGCAAAGTCTTTATGAAATTTGCCAAGTCATATTCTCCTATAGGGCATACAGGTATCTTGGCTGAGTGTAAATTATAATAACAATATATCTCATCCTCATCTCTTGTAATAATATTTAAATGTATTTTTCGCCCTATAAAGTTTCTATATTAAAAAATCTCATAAAATATGGATCTTGAAAAATATAAGAAAATTATTTTACCAGCAACCTGGATTCTAATGATTCCAAATTGCTCCTTCTCTGATTTACATCCTTTTCGAGTCCAATATAATCTATCATTAGTCTCTTGCCATAATTTTACCATATCATCCAATTCTTTTCGTTTAATACAAGATAACCGTGAGCATTTGATAAACATAAGTTCATAAACTTTTCCATTATATTTAAACTCGAATATCATGTCTGATTATCTTTCTATTTGACCATCGCTCTTTCTATTAGCACTGGTAAGACTTTGCCATTCTGATGTACTAATGAATGCAGTCTTTCCATAGGAAAGATTTTTCAAAGTGGATCAGATTGCTGATATTATCACATTTGTCACATAAGTGCCTTCATTAAGTGAATCTTCAAAATCTGGTCTAAACGCCAGATTGTTCTAGATATCGCTTCTATTAATAATAAATTAGTGATATATACAGCAATAATTTTTCTTTTTATTACTTACAATATATCAAGAATATTAATCGCAACTCCAACGAGTATCTCTACTGACTCTTTCCAAGAACTATTGTGCTTTAATTTATCAGGTAAACTTTCCGTTCAATGTTCATTGAAGTTTGCTATAAATCTTCTACATGTTTCTCAAATTATTGCTAAATTTGAAGGTATCTTTCAACGTGATGACTTCTAGTAAAGAGAGCTGAATTAGAAACTTGATTGTTATAATTCTCAAAAATTATAAAGTACTTACTAAAAAAGTATTTTGTATTTTCTGTGAAAGATTTTGAATTAAGCCTGAATCGTCACTAATAACTCTACTAGCAAGTGAGTCTTTTCATGAAAGGTTAGAAGCAGTAATCGATCTCAATCCAAGTATTAATTTATTAAAAAGTGAGGATTGTTTCCTCTGTAACAGAATAACCAGTTAATAAAGAATTTAGTCCTGAAAACATTATCTGCATATGCTTACTGAAAGTTTCGATCTCATATTATTCAAGTTTGCTCTGAGGTAAAAGGTTTCTCTTTATTTACTTTCATAACTCTGATATCCCGTAAGCTACAGACGTCTTCAAAGGATACATCAAACTATGACAATGATAGATTGAGTTATTATTCTCATAAACAAAATCACTTTCTAAAATTAAAGCGTGTGCTATCAACTGTCATAGGAAAAATTATTATCTTCATAAAGCCTCACGTCAATGATAACTTTTGCATAGTATAATAATAATCACATATGGATAAAACATAATGCTACAGTATATTCACCCTCCATACGTCTAAGAGAAATAGTTATCTTTTAATTGCAGGCTATTAGAATATCTAAACTGTTATGCTCACTATTTAGAAAGTACTAAAGCTACGACAAATCATCATTCTATCTAACGAATATTTTTTTAGGTTCATTTCATAAGGACTTACCTGAAGAGGTATTCCAAAAAATTTTTGTTGATATTCTGAACCTTGGGTATAAAGATCCATTGTTGATGAAATTGCTTGATGAACTACTCCTCTTAACTCTTCTTTCAGAATCCATAGATCCTCCTCTATTCCTTGATAGATAACTGAGGTAATAGTAATGTGTTCTTGCTTAGCAGTTATTAAAAAATTGTAAATTTTCAAATAGTTCAGAAGACATACCGTATAGTCCTGAAAATAAGCACCCTGTGACATGCTCCTTTTATAGTAATTTATTTATTTGTTACATGGAATTTATTATATTATTAGTCACGTATATACTGATAAATTCATATATATCACGTGATGCTTATTTTCAGGACTATACGGTAGTTTAGTATTGTTAATATAGAATAAATGACCCAAACTAAAAATTTCGTATACTTACCCTTTTAAATGATTCCATTTCATGTCTTTCTGAACCTACATTCATGTTGGGAAAAGAGAAAGGAGAATATACAAGGCAGTTTACGTCAAAATTTGTGTTAGAAAATAAGAGCATGCAGAATGTGCATTGAAAATCTTGACATTTACAAAGGCGTTAGAGGCGATGCATATACCTTCTTTTTTATTTCACTTGCTCGACCACTCAGTAATGAAGGCCTAGTAGCATTATATAAATACACTCTAATTGAAATCTAGTAGAAATAGATTCTAGCATCAAAGGAAATAAAATGCTATTCAGATAAATAGGGAAAAAATTCAAAATATTTTTTTGGAGATCGATTTCTTATGTGTGAAAATTAATTTGTTGTACAAGTAATCACACAGAGTTACAAATGATTTATGGTGTATCACTTATTACATTATATATACTTTAACGAGAATCGAAAATGTGTTAATTTATGTCACATATGCCTTTATGCATTGGCCTTGAGATACTTTATATAAAACTAGCTTAATTTTATCTATTCTAACCTCATTTTTCTCAAATAACATGAGATGTTTTCTGGCCCTATGAGTTTTTTACGCAAGTTAGCTTGTGTGATTTTAGTAGGAAAAAATGATTTTATTTCTTTGTAAATCATTGATCTTGCCATTTTATCCTTAATTCTACCATCGGCCGTAAGAACATCTACCTTACTTTCAAATTAAAAGGAATAATTGTGCTAATCTAATATTTCCTGCTGACTGGATTTTTATCATTGTCTTGCTCCAAAGATAGTTCACCTGAAGTTACATGACTCTGATCATTTCCTGAGGAAACAGTTTTTTTGAACTCTTCTGAAATTTTCAAAATCACCTGATCGTCTTTTTCAGAGTTGTATGATCGGCTGGCAACTGTCAAGTCCTGAATAATCAATTTACGTTAAAGTTTTTCCTCTCACTTTCTCTGCCTTATTTCATCACTAACCTTTTTCTTATTCACATTATCTAAGAAAGCATTCATTTCTCTTTCCTCTGATATCTTAGAACTAACAGGTATATTTGATACTGCAATATTTATTTTGCACATAGGCTTACATTGCTCAAGCTGAGAATTAGATATATTAGCAGGTGATATTTCTGGTGTTAGTTCTTCGAGTAACGAAGTATCCATTTTCTTATTCACCAATGGCTTTTTATAATGTGCTACTATAAGTAACTGCTCTATAACTGAATTGAATTTAGACGAACTGTTCTTAAAAAAATTATCATTTACTGTTAAGGCGCTTTGCAAAGTCTACTTCTGTTCCACTTTCGTAATTCTATCTTCAAACTCAGATTTCATTTCCTCAATTCTAGCCTTGAAATTGGCATTTTCAGCATCACGTCTCTCATTATATTTCGCATTTGATTTTAAAGTCTCCGCATTCTTACGTTTAAGTTCAACTATTTTATCATCAAAGACTGAAAGCTTGAATCTAAGATTGCAGATCTCAGTATTCTTATTCCTAAGCTCTACATTCTTAGCCTTAAGCTTGTCATTCTTAGCTTCAGGTTCAGTAATATGCTGTTTCAATACTTCAAGCTTAAATGACATGATCTATATATAACTAATACAATGTATATAAGCATTCAAAATAAAAAAATACGTGATTCGAAAAAAAAGGAATATTTAGAAAATAATTATTTATTCATAAGTTTCAGGATTTTTATTTTTAACATCATTAAGCAAATCTACCACTCTTTTTTTAGTTGATACCTAACACAATGTTATAACTGATTCATGGTTTAACCATCCTTTTTTACCCTCACCTATTTGAATAATAAAATTGGCTATGTGTTGATCTATCTTATTTCCAAAATATTGCGCCTTAGAAATAAGACTAGCTTGAATGAATGATTTACAAAATGCCTTCATACCAAAAAGTTCTCTCATTAAAGCGTGATATACTTTTTCTCTTGGATTATCGCATTGGTTTTCAAGCTTAATCAAAAGATTAATAAAGTTATCAACCCAAAGCATATTTTTTTAATCATATGATAATACTTCATAAACTTCATCAACTACTAGACCTTGACGAATAAGTTCTTGTAATTCCGTATCTGTTATTGCAAGATGTCTTTTATTCTTTTTACGAACTATACTCTTGACTTTAGAAGAGTGAATTCAATATTATAAAACATGTGACATAATTATTGCAGAGAAGAATAAATAATGTTTTACTGTACACAATATCTAAGCCATTTACGCAATTTGAAAAAAAATAGATAATCCAGTTAAGCTTCTTATTTTTTTGTACCAGTTCCTCAACTCTAACATCACGTCTGGTATTCTCCTCTATAATCTGCTTTAGAAGCTCAGCTTTTTTAGCCTTAAGCTTGACAATACGTTGCCTCAATAAATCTATTTCAGATTGCATATCGACTTACTATAATATTATTATACTTGATATATATATTATTATTCAAATTAGTAAAAAATCTAATTAATGATTATGTAAAACACCTCTTGACTCGCTCTGGACTAACTAGATTATTCAAACTCTGATTCAGTTTTAGAGCTAGAAGATTCTGAATCAGAACAGCAGTAATCTTTATCAAAATTTTCGATATGAATATTTGGATTTAGTTGGTCTATAGTTTTTTTGCTAATATTTTCACATTCTTTCAAATCTAAAATTTTTATATTAAGACATAAGTGAGCAATTTCTTCGATAGTCTTACTTATAATATTGTAGTAACTAAGGTTGAGATATTGGAGTTTTGGGCAGAAATATATAGCATTATAAATTGATGACTCATTAACAAAATCACAGCAACACAGATTGAGATATTCTAATTTATGACAAGTATGAGCTAGCGCTTCAGTAACCTTATCAGTGATATCATTACAATCAATCTCTATATGTCTTAAATTCAGAGATATTTTAATAATAGCTATAATTAATCTATCATCCCACAAAGCCATGGCATCACAAAAGTCGAGATACTCTATATTGAAGCATCTTCACATTAAATTATTAGTATCTTTAACATTCCTCTTACTATATGCAATATCAAGTTTTCGTAAATTTGAGCATAAGTTTAAAATACAACTTATAGATTTATCTGTGATCTGACATGCTTCAGTAAAATGAAACACTTGTATATCATGGCAATTTTCTGCGATTTCAAACAAAGATTTATTGGTAATATTTTTGCAGTAAGAAATATTTAGATGTTCTAATTTACGGCATGATTCTACAATTACCGTATAGCGCTGACATTAGTACCAGGTACTATTCAAGCAAATCTAAGCTTAATTTTGAATAATACCTGGGGGTACTACATTCAGAGAAAGGTACTACATAAGGGGATATTATATAATAGGAATACAATAAAAGGGATATTAATCATAATCATTGATCATCTTTTTTTACTTTCAAATTTTTAAATTTTTAACATTTCTTTGAAATAAAGCCATAATATGTTATATAATATAAATGACACGAATTTCATGAATGACGCAAATTTCACAGATAACGCAATCAGAATTTTATTTATTTTAATTTTGGTCTTTTTTTCGACTTTAAACCTTTTTTTTTAGTTTTTTTGTTGTCCTTATAATCATAACATAAATTTGCCATTTCTTTACAACTTTGTTATAAGTAATATGGGTCCACGCGCAAATAAAAATACCAACTATGCAAGAATATCAAAAAAAGTACGAAGAGTATAAAATGTAAGAGAAAAACTTGCTGTTATTATATATCATGAAAAGGGACATAGTAAAAATGGAACAGCAGCTAAATTTAATATTGAAACCAAACAAGTTCGCGACTGGATATCTAAAAAAGAACAATTTATGAAAGCACAACCTAGTTTAAAACGTTTAAATAAAGGTAAACCTCCAAAATATTCAGCTTTAGAGGTAGCTTTAATTGAGTGGATAAAGGAAAGAAGAAGTAACCAGCAAGCAGTTTCTCGAAATATAATTCAAATAAAAGCAAAAACTTTAGCACAACAACCACAATGGCAAGCATCCTGTCCTAATGTACAATCTTTTGCTTTTAGTAAC